GAAACCCCATCTCTACTAAAAATACAAAATTTGCCAAGCGTGCTGGCTTGCACCTGTAATCCCAGCTACCTGGGAGGCGGAGGCACCAGAATCACTTGAAACCGGGAAGGTTGCAGTGAGCCGAGATTGCACCACTAACTGCACTCTAGCCTGGGCAACAAGAACAAAACTCCATCTCAAAAAAAATAAAAAATCACTGCAGGGAATGTCCATAGGCACCAGAAACTCCAAAATGGACACCGGGACTTCTGGGGAATGGAGGAGGAGAGGGGTATTGTCCATATGGAATTATGACCTGGGTATGCAGCTGTCACAGGCGAGACTTCAGAGAGGTCTCAGGGAAGTTACAGAGGAACAAACGACCAGGAGTCCAGAGCAAGGATGGCCAGAGGTCACCACAACCCTGGGTGGTGCCAAGGTCAGAGGCCACCAGGACTGGGGAGAGGCCATGGCGCCAGGACAGAAGGCCTACCCAGGTAACCCCAGCAGAGGTGGGAGACAACTGGGCGGGGGGGGCGGTTGAGAAAATAAGAATAATCAGCGGATTACAGTTCACATAGGAATCAGAATGAAGACAAGAAATTCTTGCTTTTCTAGCAATGCCTAAACACAAGCGGTGTCAAGCCAAGCATATCAGAAGTATGACAAACTGCAAAGAAATAAGAAGGCATTTAAGATTCAGAACCAAGGCAGAGCTGAGTGATAAGCAGGGGATTTTGGTTAAGCAAAGTGGCACATAGAGGAAAAACCTACTAGACAGAGATTTGAGCAGGGACTTGCCTGGTTTTCTGAAACAACATGTCCTAAGAATCAAGAGCTGAGGCCCCAGCGCCCCACCCCAGAGTTCTTTAACCATCTAATTTACGGACCTCCTGAGTCATTAATCCCTCCAGGCCTCAGTCTCTTTCACAAGCATCAAATGTGTTAATATATGTCAAGTCCTTAGAAAACTGTGTGGCACAACGTATGTTCTATAAACAACCCAACCCAACCCAACCCAACCCAACCCAACCCAACCCGGAATGAAATGGAGTCTTACTTGTGACTTTCAGGTTTCTCTGCATTGGCTCCTGTGGCCGCCATTCTGTCAACTGAGGCAAGACCCTAAGGAAAAAAAAATCACAGAATGGAGTGAATCCACTCAGTAGAAACCAAGGTTGTGCAGAGCCCCACTAATATGTAGAAAGTCAGTGCAATGAAGTGGAATTCCTTACACACCTGATGTAAGTGTGTGGACTGTGTGAGAAATAGAGAGGAGAATGTGTATGTGTGTTTATAGCGTTGCTAGTTTCAGAGAGGAGGTGGTGACAATGTGCCAAAAGCCTAAGTGGACAGGCACCTCACATCTCCAGAGAACCTGTCCCCTTTATGCCTGTAAACCCAGCACTATGGGAGGCCGAGGTAGGTGAGGTCAGGAGTTCAAGACCAGCCTGTCCAATATAGTGAAACACAGTCTCTACTAAAAATACAAAAATTAGCCGAGTGTGGTAGCAGGTGCCGGTAATCTCAGCTACTCTCAGGAGGCTGGGCAGGAGAATCGCTTGAATCAGGGAGGCAGAGGTTGCAGAGTGAGACTCCATCTCAAAAAACAAAACAAAACAAAAACCTGTCCCTTATTCCCAATTTCTCAGCCCAGCAAGTCAAGACTCACTGACCCAACACACCACACCTCTCTGCCTCCCTTTTCTTTTTTCAATAGAGATGGAGTCACCCAGGCTGGAGTGCAGTGGTGCCATCTCGGCTCACTGCAACCTCTGCCTCCTGGGTTCAAGCAATTCTTCTGCCTCAGCCTCTCGAGTAGCTTAGACTACAGACACCCACCACCACGTTCAGCTAATTTTTGTATTTTTAGTAGAGATGGGGTTTCACCATGTTGGCCAGGCTGTTCTCAAACTCCTGACCTCAGGTGATCCACCCGCCTTGGCCTCCCAAAGTGCTGGGATTACAGGTGTGAGCCACCGTGCTCAGCCAAATGCCTCACTTTTCTAGACTCTCAGATGCTCTTCTCTAGCTTTCAAGGACAGCCAGGGGAGTGGGAGGAATTGGGTCAAAGGTGAGGAAAAGGTACCAGCTCCAGGCGGGGCCGTGGGGACAGGGGACCACCATAGGAGGGAGATGGACTGAGGCTGACCTGAGTCAGCCCACAGCCCTGCCTCCACTGCAAAGCCCCATGAAGGAACACGTGGCGTACCTGCAGTTACTCTAGTAGGGCTCATTAGTCAGAAATCCCCAAGACCACTTCTCTGTATGGAGAAGGGCAGGGTTTTGCCAGAGCTCTTAGAAGGAGGGTGAGACTCACGTTTTGAACTCAGTTAATAAAGCAACAAATCCCTGAATGCTCTGTAATGGCCAGGCCCCCAACTCCCTGGAAAGCCTTGCAGAGTGGACAGGATTCATGGCGAGAGGAGGAGACTGAAGCACCGAGTCTACGGGATGATCCAAGCTCATAAAGATACCAGTAGGAGTTATGAAGTGGAGCTGCTTTCCTGAGGTCAAGGCATTGTTTCCAGGACGCGGTTCTCACCTTTGTAACTCAGCAGTCTCTTGTCACCAAGCTAAAACCCAAAAGGTCCCTTTTTGGACAATGGGATTTATTATTACCACAATATAGTGATCATTCCCAGCAAATCTTGAATGCCAGGGAAAATTACAGTTGTTAGGTGTGGAGCAAAAATGTTCCCTCCAATTGCTGCCTTAAATCTCTCCACCAGGCTTTCATTTTCCCTTAGCATTTACACAACACTTCTTTGGAAAGCCTACTGCAGTCCAGCTAAGGAGCACTAAGAAGGGGAATAAGGTGTGGTGTTGCTGATTTTTTTTTTTAATTCAACACTTTATTTTTCATGTTTTAGAAACAGGGACCATGCACGGTGGCCCACGCCCCTAATCCCAGCACTTTGGGAGGCCAAGTCTGGCAGATCACTTGAGGTCAGGAGTTCAAGACCAGCCTGGCCAACATGGTGAAACTGCATCTCTACTAAAAATGCAAAAAAGTTGCTGGGTGTGGTGGCGCATGCCTGGAATCCCAGCTACTCAGGAGGCTGAGGCAGGAGAATCGCTTGAACCCAGGAGACGAAGGTTGCAGTGAGTCAAGATCGTGCCACTGTACTCCAGCCTGGTGAAAGGACAAGAAAGAAAAGAAAAGAAAAGAAAAGA